AGGTCTCTCTCAGCCTCCTTTTCTCCAGGCTAAAAAACCCCAGCTCCTCCAGCCACTCCTCCTAAGACTCCTGCTCTAGACCCTTCATGAGCTTCATTGCTCATCTTTGGAAACACTCCAGCACCTCCATGTCATCACTGCCAGCACTGGCAGCCATGTGGCCTTTGCTGTCCCCTCACCTTCACCAGGATTTGGGGCCAGCCAGCTACTCTCAGCCTCTGAGTATCCCCAGCTCACAGTAGATGGCAGGAGCTGGCCTGGGAGCTGCTGTGGGAGTTCTGCCAACCACTTGCCATGGCATACTTTGGGAACTGCTCCTCTGGACACACTGACGAGAGCAGGGTAATGCATTTCTCCTGGAAAATAAACATATCTCTAATGAAAACCTGGTGCACCATCGGGGTTTTTTTCGGTTCTTTAAGTGAAAATTAGGCCTTTTGTCTTGTCAGACCTAAGCCTTTCCTCATATTCACCATGCCAGCCCATCAGCATTATTCCTCAAGCATAAAGTGAGCCTGGAAAACTTAATCAAGCACACAGAAAGCAACATAGGAAAAAAAAAAAAACACCCAAAGAGGCAAAGGACATTTGCCTGAGAGTTCCTCTCCTCGCCTCGCCTCGCCTCGCCGACCCGACCCTCCTCTCCCCTCCTCTCCCCTCCTCTCCCCTCCTCTCCCCTCCCCTCTCCTCCCCTCCCCTCCACCCGACCCTCCCCGACCCTCTCCTCTCCTTTCTCTTAATTTCTTTTCAGTTCTCTCAGTTTCGTGTTCCCAAGTGCGGGCTTCCTGCACTCCTGGATTGGGCAAGAGACTTTTCCATGGTTTAAGGTGTGAATATGAAACTCCTGTGCCTACAGCTGGAGGAATAGAAATGACTTTGTGACACAGACAGTTCTGCTCTGTATCTTTACCCCTGTTTTTGACTTAATGCTGCCTGACACAAGCTAAAAGATAAAAATCTGTCAACTTACAAATGGTGTCGCTAAGAGAGTATATGCTTTGCTGCTACCCAGAGTTTACTTGCTTATGGAGCCTTCCAGTGAAAACAGAGTTTCAAATGTGAAATAGAAATGCCCTTTTACTTTTGTCACAAAATTTTCCAGGTCTTCTTTAGCTGGCAAAAGGATGCCAGATAAGGGAAAGAAGCAAAAATAAGCAGCTTGCAACCATTTTAGCCTTCAGAAAGTGCCTTTAACATCACATCTTTCTTCTTACGTGGAATTATTTTGATAAGGCTTTTCTATATGGGCTATGTACCCTTTCCAACTTTAAATCCTTCAATTAAGGGCTAGACTGGGAGCTGTGCTGTGCTGTGTGCCCACAGGGAGCAGTAAGAGGGAAGGTATATGAACTCATAGTTCTGCTCAGCCTCCTGGTCCCCATATCTGGCTATAAATAGGAGGGGAGGAGAGGGGATGGGGATGGGGATGGGGATGGGGATGGGGATGGGGATGGGGATAGGGATGGGGATGGGGATGGGGATGGGGATGGGGATGGGAATGGGAGAGGATGGAGATGGGAGATGATGGGGATGGGAGAGGAGGGGATGGGGATGAGAGAAGAGGAGATGGGGATGGGGATTGGGATGGGGATGGGGATTGGAATGGGGATGGAGAAGGAGCCTTTGGTTCTCACGGTGAACTCTGCAGACAGAACTTACCCTTAATTTCCTGCCTACGGGCTTGTCTTCATTCCCCTTTTCCCCCTTGGAAAGTTCAAAAGGAGACCAAGTGAAATGCTTCCCACTGGCTGGCACAGTTAGCCCACTGCGGTCTTCCAAGCCCCCTGTAGACCTTGGTGCCTTCCCCCTCGCTGCCTCTGGGATGTGCCAAACACCATTTTACAGGAATCTTGCCTCCAGAAGGGGAAATCTTCTCCAGCCCATCCTAGAGAGCCTCTCCTCCTCTCCTCTCCCACGGGGGACCTGTCGAAGCGAGGTGAGCGTGCCCAGAGCAAAGGCATCTTCATCTGGCACGGGATGATTAAGAAGCATGTTTATAAAGTCCAGGCGACAGCTGAAGGAGTTAAGTTACTTGAGTGCTTTGGGATCCTTCAGGATGAAAAATGCTGTATACATGTCGGATTTTATTATTACAATTACAGTCAGATGTTAATCCCCTCACCGGGATTTACTCAGGCAGCAGCGCCAACAGCAGTACATCTTGCTGAGTAATTGCCCCCTTCCTGACTGTTGGGTGTCTCTGCCCTGAGCTGCTTCTTGTTTCTGTGTTTGCTTTAATTCTGACACTTCTGAGAGCACTGAGTTTTCCCACCCAGCAGCGAGCAAAGGCAGAGCACATCCTGCACATCCAGATTGCCTTTGCTTCAAGGCACATGTCGTATGTGCTTTGGGGTCAGAAAACAGATAATGAGAAATTCTCACTGGTAAAATTCAGCCTCGGGGGGTAACAATACCCACCTCTACTGCAAATTGTTGAGAGCTAATGCTGGAAGAGCTGGGAAACGGTAGTTTCATGGCTCTTATTGCACAATGTGTGTGAGCCAAATGAGTGAAGAAAAGCTCCAAGTTCAGTAAACCAAGCTGGGATCACAATAGCAGAAATATACAGCAACAGAAGAAAGGCTGGATACACTTAAACCCCTGCACAGTGTAAATTACCTGGATGCACTGGGATTGGCTCCTGAGCCACACATAATTTTGTCTACCCAAAGTCCAGGGGATGCTCTGACTCTATGCAGACTCAGGGCTGGAGGTCCAGCCTCTCCATTTTGGAGAGTTTTGTTTTCTTTTCCTGTCTGAATGCAACATTTGGCATTTCTGAGGTGATGAAGAGACAAAAACCTGGGGGAGATGCTCTGTTCATTAGTCTGATGAGTGAAGCCAGTTCTGCACATCCCAGCATGTGCCAGCAGGACACTCTGGGTTGGCCTGTAACTGTAGCCCCTCGCTTTGCTTGGTGGGTAAGAAGCACATCACAGTGAGAAACTGGTCCTGTGATCCACCTCGGTCCCTGCCTTGGCCCCAGTGGGTAACTGGTTATCTCATGGTTTTGGGAGGGAGTGACTGGCATGGGCAGGAATGTTCTTACACACTGTCAGTCTGGAGGAACCAGCTGTGTGTCCAATTTCTGGACATGGTTCAAGTGTGAGCTCAGTGCTGAGCAATGTGGAGGTAAAGGAGGTGAGGAGGGTTTGGGGTTTCACTGTGTTGACACACACCAGACTGCCAGTCTCTGTGCCTCAAAAGTTGTGAGTCCAGCTCTCCTCCAAAAGATGTAGCCCCACACGGCTAAGAAAGAGGTGAAGGAAAAGCCACTGGTTTAACATGGGTGGTTATTACACCCTGCACTGAGGGATGCAGGGACACTTCCTCTCCAGGGAGAGTGATGCTCCTGGAAGGCTGCAGATGCCCTTGCAGAGAGTGCCAAGATGTTGACGCTGGAGTGTCGCACTCTGGTGTGCTGCCCTGGGGGTCCTGCCCCAGGGGTCCTGCCCCAGGGGCTCTAAAGACATGGTACCCTACTCAACTAAAGCTCTGTTTAAAGCTGGAAGGGGGTTTGACCACGGGAGGGCTCCTCTGGAGAAGCAGACGTGGTGGGGCAGCTGTGGAAGGCAGAGGCAGAAGCAGAGAGAGGGGTTCGGCTACTCTGTGCGGTGCCCAGGCCCCGGGCTGGTGCAGGCAGGAGACGCCGAGGACCCGCAGTGCCCCGTTGTTCCGGGGTCACTGCCCCGGGCCCTGCCCGCTGCCGGGGTGACGGCGCCCGGTGAGCCCAGGGCCGGGGCCGCAGGTGGGACGCCGCTCCGGGGATGGGGGTGGGCAGCGTCGAGGGGGTGGTGGCAGGACCCGGCTGTCACTCAGCGTGCGGCGAAAGTGACAGCGGGGGCGGGGCGGCCGCGCCGGGCGCGTATTTAACTTGGGCGACAGCGGCGGCGCGGCAGAACGCGGCGGGCGGGCGGCAGCGGCGGCAGGGGGATCGCGACACCGAGCCCAACCGAGCGGCACCGAGCCCAGCCGAGCCCCGCCGGGCCGGCCTTCACCGCGCCGAGCCGAGCCGAGCCGAGCGGGCAGCGCAGGGCACGGAGCGGAGCCGCGGCTGGATGCTCTGAGAGCGGTGGGGACGAGCGGGCCCCCGGAGCACCGGCAGCAGCAGCGGCAGCAGCGGCGGCAGCAGCAATGGGTCTCCGGGGCTGCTGAGCGGCGGCCGTGCCCGCCCCTGCCCGCCCCCACCGAGGAGCCGCCAGGGAACCGCGCCGGGAGTCGGGACGCGCCGCCGCGCCGGTGCCGGGGACACCCTCCGCCCCCCCCGCCCCGCCACGCCGAGGATGCCCCGGGGGCCCGCGGGCCGCCCCCGCCGCTCGCCA